AGCAGCAGCAGCTGGGAGGAGAGCAGGAGCCCTGCGGTGCTGGAGAAGGACGCTCTCTACAGCTGGAGCAGCACCCTGAGGCTCTCTGCAGACCAGTGGAGGAAGGTGGGCTCTGTGACCTGTGAGGCCACCCAGGGCGCCCAGGCTCCAGTCTCAGAGAGTCTGAGTAGAGACCAGTGTTCCCAGTAATGACTCACTGGGACTCTGCTGCTGGTTTTACTGTGATACTGCTCTCACTGTGCACCTTTCTCTCTCTCTTTATTTCATGTTTCTAAAGAATAAATATTAGCTTGTTGCTTCATATGTGTGTGTATTGTTTCCTGATAATCTGTTCATTAAATCAATGAGAAATACACTTTTTGTCTTTTTGTCTTTTTTTCAAAGTTGTTAAAACGACTTTTCTTTTCTTTTATCACAAACTGTCTTAAGATACTTCATCATAATGGAGCCAGTGACTACATTAAGAAATGTAGTTTCTCCATGATAACTTTACAAAGGACGAGTAAAAACACATCATGATGAGACATAAACACTGTTTTTAAACTCAGACTGAGCTCCTCAATATGTTTGATGAGCGTCATCAGTGATCACAGAACTTCAAACGATATCATTTTTCATCATTTATATAAATATTTATATAAATTCCCAAATGACAGTAAACTTGTTTTGTGCTTTATTCTCTCTACAATAGTCGGTAATAATGAACAAAACCCATGATAGCCAGCATGACTAGCTGAGACCAGAGTGCTCAGAGACCAAGATAAGATCAAGACCAAGGCAGGACAAGGAGACAAGACCAGGACAAGAAGGAGACAAGACCAGGACAAGAAGGAGACAAGACCAGGACAATGAATTTCACTGAAAAATCATCAACTTGTGTGCAGCTGGCGTGACACTCACTCAGACTGTAACACCAGGAAGGTTGCAGCCGTAACTGGGGGATAAAAGTCAAACTACAAATGAATTGAAGTTAATCGTTGTTTCAAAAAAACAACCCTTTTCCTTCCTACCACAATCAATTAAGGAACAGGACTACACTGTAAGACCGAACAGTAAAAGCATGTTAAAAAAATTGGGTTGTGTGAACTCGGAAATTCAAAATAGTTATTTCAACTCTATTTTTCTAAGTTATTAGAACGCGTTTTTAGTTTGAAGTAAACAGAGCTCAACCAATTTGATTATTTTTCATAATTGTTCTCAAATTGTTTGATCTGCTCTGCATGACGTCACGGTCACGTGCGTACGTGCTCTCACCGCCATGTTTGCTCTCGCATCGAGTCGCTAAGAATGAGCCAGCTAAGCGGAGTGAACTTTACAAGTTGAGAACAATTTGGACACAGACAATAGATATTGTTATTTGTGGAGCAAATCGCAGACTTTTGAAGGGACTTTTGTTCGGACATGCAGGAGTTTTCTGTCTCTACTCTGCTGAATGCGCTGACTGCCGTAGCATTGGTGCTATCTTTGAGCTAATCTGGTGAGTAATAACTTATTTTATCACATTTTGATATCGTTTCTTCATTTAATGAAATAGTTCTCATGTCCGCAGCTATTTCATGCATTTAGTATGAAGAGTGAATACGTGTTTTCTGTTGTACTTTTGTGGCAAAGTTAGCCTATTTAATTAATGCAGTTTGCACTATTTAATGTGAAAACATTTGAAAAAATATAACTGGCTTAACTTCTTTCTTTAACTTTCTTTAACTTTTCAAGTATAAACTAAGTCTTGCTTTAAAATTTGTCTGGAAATGTTACTGGACTGCTTTTGTTTCTCGACCTCCACATGCATGTTTCTGTACAGACAACCGTTAACGTTTTTAAAAGAGGTCTTGTAGTAGTTTATTTAGTGCTATCATTTGTTAGACATTTTTGATAGGTAGGTAAACTATCAAAAATAAAGCCTGGTGTGGAAAATAACCGCATTGTGCGCGGTGTTTCTGTTGCTCCTCAACTGTAAATTAACTGTAAAGAAACATTTCTGCTAAAATGTACAGTTTAGCTCATTTTTCTATTTTCTTTGTCTTAAGGCTTAAATACAAGCAACTTGGTGATATCCGGAGTCTTCAATCAGGTATGTATATTCAAAGCACAGACTTTTAATAGACATTTCTTGTGCACAATCACTGTAAAGAGAAATCCGATGTGATGCAGATAAGGGAAGTTTATCTAAAACCTGTTCACTGTTTCATCATTCTATGCTTTGTATGTCAAACTTGCTGATTCGACACCGTTTAGTTTTACAATGGCTTGGCAATGCAAACTTTGTCCTGCTGTGTGTGACAAAAGGGCACAGTTGCTTGAACACTGTCGTTTGCATCACAGCAATTTATCCTCAATCAACCCATTGCCTTGTCTCTTTGATGACTGTATCTGCACATTTCAGTCAATAAATGCATTCAAAATTCATTTAACAAGGTTGCATAATAATACAGTTGTACCCAGTGAAAACGAGGTGGGATGTTTGTCATTCACATGTCCTTTGTGGATTCAAGCAACCATTTAATGATAAGAGTCTCCTCAGTCATTTAAGGGCACATTTAAAACACCATGAAATGGTGGACTGTCCTTTCAAAAACTGTCAAGACCGCACTAATGTCTACTCCTCCTTTAATGCCCACAAAAGTAGGACTCATCCAGACAGTGATGTTTCAAATTATAAGAATGAGATTGTCTGTACAGAAACTGAAAGTCAACCAATGCAGAGTCAGGATGAATCTGATAGGGATAGCCCTTTACCACACTCTCCTGAGCTGGATACTCCTGAGTGTGAGCCCTCTGGATCCAGAGATGACACTGATGACTTGGAAGGGCACTTCAAAAATAATTTGGCTTCTTTCTTCTTGAAAATGAACAGTGTTCTTCATGTGTCAGAGACAGCTACACAGGACATCATTGAAAATTTGGCACAAATATTCACTTTGTCCAAACCTGTTGTGAGAGAAGCTGTTGTCAATAGTTTACAAGAGCATGATCTGTCTGTCAGTGGGGCCCTTCTTCATGACCTAGAGGAGGCTATCATGAAAACTAATGTTTTTGTCAATGCTACTTCAGAAGGTGCGGAACTGTCCACTGCTAAGCGGAGGGAAACATTTGTGAGGAGTAACTATCCTTTGGTAATGCCAGTGCAATACACTTTTGATTCCAGTGAACACACAGCAGTGTATGTTCCCATTCTTCAGATGATTCAAACAATGTTTAAAACTACTGATCTTCTTGAAAAAATTCACGAGGCAAAACCGTCTCCACCAGGAATTTACATGTCTCATGAAGATGGAACATATTTCAAAGAAAATCAGTTATTGTCTGAAACAGGGGAGCTGAAACTGTCCCTGATTTTGTTGCTGTACTGCAGACCAGAAACAGTGCACTGACGTTTCTGAAGGGGAGTTTAGCATGAGAACAAGGGCCTCCCATGATCTTCATGTGCAGAATGTTGTGGAAGAAGACAAAGCAAATCACTTAGGTGTTAAAGGTCAGTGTGCTCTCAGCATGGCATTGCAGCATTTTCATCCCATCACTGGTTTTCCACCTGATATTCTTCACGACCTCTTTGAGGGTGTCGTGCCAGTTGAGATGGCCTTGTGCATCCGTGAGATGATTTGCCTGAAGTATTTCACACTTGAATATCTAAACACAAGAATTCACACATTTCCAGATCAGCACACTGATAGGCTTGATAAACCGCAACAAATTCCAAAGAATTTTGCTGCCAAACGGGCATGAAAATTCCACTTTGCTTAGGTTATTACCACTACTGGTAGGAAGTAAAGTCCCTGAAGGAGATGAAACATGGGCCATATTGTTGGACCTCAAAGAAATAGTGCAGCTGGTGTTGTCTCCATCTTTCACAGAGGAGTCTTTACAGTACATGCAGACTAAAATCAGTGATCATCGACAGGGACTTCAAGCAGTGTTTCCAGACTTTAAGCTCAGACCCAAGCATCATTATGTTGAGCACTACCCAGAAATGACAAGGCGCTTTGGGCCTCTTGTTCACCTTTGGACAATGAGGTTCGAGGGAAAACATCGCTTTTTTAAAAGAGTGATACAGGACACACACAATTTCAAGACTGTCTTGAGAACTCTTGCCACTAGGCATCAGCACATGATGGCGTATCACTGAAGTGCAACATTATTTTTCAAACCCCACACACAATCTTCGAGTGTCACCTCTGTCCACGTTGCCACACTGCCTCAAGTGGCAAAAGACTTTATAAGAACAAAGACAGACAGCCAAAACATATACAGTACAACACAGGTGTCCATTGATGGCACAGAGTATGCTAATGGTATGTATGTTTCTGCAGGCCAGGCTGGAGACTGACCAAACACTGCTTGTGAATAACTCTGTTTCTTTTCTTTGCAGAAACTACGAGAGCTGGTACAGAGAGCATTTGAGGTGATTTGAGCTGACATCCTCAGACACCTGCTCTGTCATCGAGCTGTCAGAACTAAATGACACAGTAAGTTTGTCTGCATACAACATAGATGGACACTTAATACTGACACAAAAAAGATTTATTTTGATCAGAGAAATCCAGGTGTAAAATGTTATCAGAAGTGAAGAACCATATGGCCTCATGGAACAGTGTGTAGCAAAGTAAGACAGGTAAACTAAAATTTGATATGCCAGTTACGTTTACTAACATTACAAGCCTAGAAAGACTTACCTGCTACAACTGTAATGTTTTTCAAACCCCAGCTTTTAGGTGAATAATATCTGTCTATAACTGTTTCACACAAATACCTATTGTGTATGCATTGTTGAATGCTATTAGTTAATCTGTTCTCTCCCCTCTCTTTGTTTTAATAGGTAATCTTCACATACATACTTCCATGGACATTGTCAGGAAGATGACTTTGGCTTCACGTCCAGAATCTGTGACTGAGCTTGAAAAAATGACAAAAGAAAAGTTTAAGATAGACTTTGATTTTTGCTAATCATATGAAGATCCAGACTTTGACGGGCAGTTATGTTCCCTTATAGACATTGAAGAGCTTCCACAGAAGGCAGTACTTAAACTTGTAAGATCTCAGAGTGATGCCAGTTCAATTGCATCTGATGACACAATAATATTGCCTCATGCAATGACTCCAGAAAGGACCCAGAGATGGCCGGATGTTTGTCCAGTGCCAGCTTTTTCTTATGAAGTAGAACTCATACTTGTTGAGGGAAATTTGAATCATGAGAGAACAGGGAAAACCCTGAAGTTATCAAGGGGACAGAAGCATGACATTCTTGAAACCCTTGCATCCAAAATGCATAGCTTTAAAGCATATCCCAGTGATAAAGACATTTCAGTGGTTGCAGAAGCGCTTGTCACCACCCATCCTTGTCTTAAAGAACCAGGAACGCAGACAGGATGGTATGGTTGGAAAAATAGTCTGAAGTTTAAGATGGGTAACTTCTGCACTAAGTTGAGTCGGGCAGGATATAGTGAGGTAGCTGTAAATTCTGGAAAGAGAAGCAGAAACAACCCTGACAAACAATCTCCCCACACTGACATAAAGAGACCAAAAAGGGCAGAAGTGAATTTTCTCCCCAACTTTCCAAAAGGAGAAGATGGTTCAAGCCTTGAGCGACAGAGACTCCAGATTGTAGATGAAGTTATAAGGACTGACAAAAACCTCCCTCTGATTGCAAAGTTGATGCAGACCACCTTTTCCCTGCGACGCAAAGAGGTCATCAATGATGACTTGCCTGTTGGAGAGATCCTGGAGTTTCACAGAATCACAAACATCAACCTGAAGAACCACTTCTATTCTGAGTTAGACAGACATGTCCCTCGTCTTCAGAGTTTGTTCAGGAAGAAAGCTGCGCGCACAGGGAAGGTGTCCGAAGTCCTGGATCAGCTCTTCAACACTTATGACCGCCAGGTGAGTTGATTATCCTTCTTCATGCATGATAATAATAGAACCCTGTTGGAACTCCCTATCTTCAGATTACATTAGGGCCAAATGATGATGCCATCGTTGATAGCTGACAGTCTTCTATCGTGAAAGACTGTTTGGAAAAAACACGACCAACAATAGAAACAATAAATGTCATCAAGTGTTCCGCTTTTGATATTGTCATTTGACAGTTTGGTAGGCATTACCTAATCGTATTCAAATACATCATATAGGGCTATTTCTTGTGATAAATTCTGTTCCTTCCCTGTTTGGCATTTCAAATTAAGATGATGTGTTTTCTCATACTTAAGGAACAAGTTGACGTCAATGTCCTCCGTGCTGCCGTCCTCCGTGCTCTCCCTACATATCTGCATGAGGATGACTCCGGATTTCTGAAGCTGTGGGATGTAAGTCAGCATATTATTAAGACTTGTAATGAATCTGTTGAACATGTTATATATTTCATCTGTTTTATTCAGATGCTGTCATTTTGGTGTATGATTGCCATGATATTAAAAAGTGAAAAAGATTAATATAGTAATAATTGTCCTGCAACATCTACAGTAGGCTTAATCTTACCTGTGAGGAATTAGTAATTAAACTTTGCATTTACTGGTCAAACCTCAATTCATGCTGCAGTTTTTAAAATTCCATTTAAAACCTGCAGAGCTGGAATAGTATGCTAAACAATATCAACATCTATAGTGAGAATAAATGCAATATAGTGATTGTTTAAAAAAGCTTGTCAGTTGAGTCATTGTCTTTCAGTACCATTTAGCTTTGATTGTTTTGAGGCCAAAAAAACAAAAAGGGGGATAATTACTAAATTTAAAGTGGTGAATTAAGAAATCCCTGAATAGCAATAGGGTAGTGTACTTTCCATATTTTTCCGCTGATCAAGAAACATAAACAGCTTTTGGTACATTGTCATTCTATGGGAAACACTGAAGCTTAGGCAGTTGATTTGTAACATTTCTCTGTCCTTGTCTTTAGCAGGCCCTGTCAGATGAACTGCAAATCGACAACATACCAGTTGGGCTCCTCCTGATCAGTGCCACTTCAACAGATGCTGCGGTATTCTGCCCCGAGAAGGTTGCCGTTGTGCTTGAGGGTAACACAGTTGAAAAAATGCCCGTTGAACTCAAAGTTGTAATGGGTTTCTGTTGGAAATGCCTGGGTTTTTCTAGTGTTGATGTACAGAACTATAGGGTAAACCTTTTGTCATTTTGCTGAAGTTGGCATTTCTTTAGTATATCTGTGTATTAAGTTGTCAACTATTCTTAAAAGTTACTGTGTTTCTGAACTATTTTACAATAGTTGTTGCTGTGTCTTTCTGATACAAAATTGGACTTTCTCTGGTTGAAGTTTGATATTTGTTTATTTTGCTCCTGTGTTGTGTCATGAGGACAGGTCTGGAGATACAATGTTTACTCAGATATATGTCATTTGAATGTTTTGTCATGCTGCTGTTTTGAAAGCCTATGAGTTGGTTCCTGAGGCATATAGGCAAAGATTTAGAAGCTGGAGGAAAGGTGATGTACAGACTCACGTAGAGTTTGCACGGGATATTTCAGCTCACTTTGCACGCTGGTGTCCTGCCTCGGAGGTAGATCATTATGATGATTTGTGTAACCTTATGGTATTGGAACAATTTAAGGACTCTGTTCCACACCACATTGCTGTACACATCAATGAGCGTAAGGTTAAGACAGCTTCAGCAGGTGCAGTGTTGGCAGATGAGTATGTGTTGACTCATGCTGGTGGCTCAGAATGGCGCTGGGGCGTAAAGGACAATGTGAAGTTTAGTCCAGGAAAGTTTGTTGGGGCTACTCAGGGTTCTCAGGCCAGTTTCAGAAGTGTACCAGGTACGGATGGTAGATTTGATCCAGGTAAACTGTGCCATTCATGTAAAAATAAGGGTCATTGGAAAGGGGAGTGTCCAATTTCCATGTCGGAACAAAAGTCAACCGATCCAAGTGTGTATATGAAATCTGCTGGTCTGGTGGCTTCACTGTCATCAGTGCAGAGTCTAATGGTGCCAGGAACATCTCCTGAACTGCCATCAAAGGGGGTTGATGAAATGTATGCCCCTTTCATGTCACATGGGTTTGTGTCTCTGAATGATGGTGAGATGAAACCTGTAAGTATTTTGAGGGATTCAGGGGCGTCCCAGAGTTTCATTTTGGAACGTGTGTTGCCGTTTTCTTCTGCTACAGACACTAGGGAGACGACTCCCGTTCGGGGAATTTCTTTGGTTCCTTTGTTTGTGTCATTGCATCGTCTTAGCCTGTGTTCAGATCTGGTAAAAGGGGAAGTGGTCATGGGGGTACGGAACTCATTGCCATTGGAGGGTGTGGATGTTATATTGGGTAATGACTTGGCGGGGCAAGAGTGTGGAAAGATGATCCACCTTCTGTTGGGGTAACAGCATCACCCGAGTGCTCTCAAGGTCCGGATGAGTGTGCTAAACAACATCCAATGATTTTTCCTGTTTGTGCTGTGACTCGGACAATCAACTTCAAAGAGTTGGGGAGGTTTTTGGATATGGTGGGTATTATTGGGGTTTTGCCCAAATTTTGCGACTGTGGTGGCCCCATTGACAGACCTTTTGAGTAAGAGGACGGTTTTTGTGTGGTCTCCTAAATTTGAGGATGCTTTTGTTACGGTGAAATCCTTGCTCTGTTGTTCTCCTATGCTTGCAGCGCCAAACTTTGAGAAGCCCTTTAAACTTCAGGTGGACGCAAGTGGAGTTGGTGCAGGAGCTGTACTGTTGCAAGAAGGGAAGGGGGCTATTGATCATCCAGTCTGCTTCTTCTCCCGTAAGTTCAAACGTCATCAGTTCAATTATTCAGTTGTGGAGAAGGAGACGTTGGCACTTACTTGGGCTCTAAAATTTTTTGAAGTGTATGTAACTTTAGGGTCTGCACCAGTTACTGTATTCACTGACCAAAACCATCTGACCTTTCTGTCCAGCATGCAAAACAGCAATCAAAGGTTGAGGCGCTGGTTGTTGTTTTTACAGCCCTACAACTTTAATATCTGTCACCTCAAGCGTAGGGATAATGTAATGGCAGATGCTCTTTCTCGGGAAGTAGTTTAATGTGTACGTACACCCAAGTGTACGTTCTTTATGGGGGAGGTGTGACGGCCCTGGCCATGGTGTTTGGCCTGGTACTGCTTGTGTTTTGTATTTCAGGGTTTGGCGTCATCTGGTGGTTGCGGTGGCATGCCTGCTGGTCGTGGGGAGACTCGCCAGCTGGTCGGGGAGACTCGCCCACCTGCCTGCTGATTGCGGATGGGCTTCACCTGGGTGGAAGGGCATACAAACCGGGCTGCCAGAGCTTTCAGGGGTTCCTCGGGACAGATTGGACTTATCTCCCTCTGCTCTTGCATTTTTTTGGTGGTTCTGAAATAAACTAAAACCTAAGCAAGTTGACTGTGTGGACCTCCATTTTGAATGTTAGGGCCTACACGAGCTGGCCGTAACACTAGGAGGCTGCCACAAAGAGCTTGGTAACGCTGATCATTAGGAGGCTGCCACAAGAAGCTTGGAAAAGTTGATCAAACTGCAAAAGATGACAACACATTAAGTTGTGAGTGCAAGTACCAGAATACCCAGAAATGCAGACAAGTCGAAATTGAATTAGAGCTCTGACCAATGAAAAGAGATAAAATTTGAACATTTAGAATGGACTAGCAATTATTTTACAAACAAATAAGCTTCAATAACTAAGATCAAGTCATGAAATTATTTTAAATTCTGCCATTTTATTAAAATATCAAACACACAGGAACAACATTAACCTTCCTGCATGTATTCACTGACAATCTGTAACCTAGAATGTACATTTACTGCTTAACCGACAGCTTTACTGAAGGAGAGTTAAATATGAATGTCACAGCAAAGGGTCTGAATACTTATGACCATGTGATATTTCAGTTTTTCTTTTTTAATAAATTTGCAAAAATTTCTACATTTCTGTTTTTGTTCTGTCAAGATGGGGTGCTGAGTGCATATTAATGAGAAATAAAATGAACTTTTTTGATTTTAGCAAATGGCTGCAATGAAACAAAGAGTGAAAAATGTAAAGGGGTATGAATACTTTCTGTACCCACTGTATATTGGTAAGTATTCTTTTTTTGAGCTGTAGTACTTTAGACTGTACCGCTGGTGTATTCAGTGCTGTTTACCAAAATTCGTGCAATGTTGATGAGGGCGAACTTTACTTTGAAAGTCTGAGTTTGCAGACTAGCTTGGTAACACTTAACATGGCCACTAGCTAGCATAATAGTCCAGACATGAACATAGCAGTCGCAAAACTGCAATTGAGAAAGGCAAAAGAATTGTGAGGCGAATGAACTTGCCCTCACTTATTATTTTACTTAAGATAGGTGTGAGGAGCGTGAGCGGGGAAGATTGTGGCCTGTTGTCTGCCCGGACACCGCGGTGTCTCTCTGCGTTCATACCGACCAGCGGATTACTTTCCCCTGAGAGCTGGACGGTGAACCAAGAATATTTATCTAACTATTTGTTGTGCGTGTTTAAACCTGTTCAATAGCAGTGTTTCCCTTACCAAAGACCGAACTTCAACCTGCAGACGGTTTCCCACTGATATGGTCCACTCCAGCCAGAAGACGTTATGCTAATGAGTTATGCCCGCGAAGATGGTATCGCACATGCGCAAAGGGCGGCTCCACATTCCAACTCATTTATTTTGTGTCATCAAATCCATCCCATAGGGTAAATTGTTATACATTTTATGTTTCACTGATTAAATATATATGTGTATATTATCAAACTAGATATTTTTAAATAAATCCAACAATACTTAAGTGTGTCACATCTAAGAAGGGCTTGAATCAGTTTTATGAGTGTTGTTAGTTTGGTTATTGGTTTTTGTTTTTGCTGTTATTTCTATTGCAAATATTTGTAGGTTTGTTTTTTGTCCACTTTATCACCAATAAAAAAATGTTATGTAAAAAAAAATCTTATTACCCATAATCCTCTGCTTGTAAAGAGTGTGTATTGTTTAAGTGCGTTTACAATGAGGTTTATAATCCAAAACAAATATGAGGGCTGATTGATTTTTTAAGGTCTTTATCATGTCTGAGCTGCTTCAGTGAAGTGTGTCAGTCTCTGCAGAAACTTCCAGCTGCAGCAGTCAGTTCAGTTTCTGTTCAGTCTGACTGAGGGAGGTTTTTGTACGACGCTTTTTCACTGTGTGAACACATCCTGACTGTTGATATAGTGATAAACTCTGACAGTAGTAAACTGCTGCATCTTCAGTCTGGACTCCACTGATGGTCAGAGTGAAGCAGAGTTTGATCCACTGCCTGAAAAAACGATCTGGAATCCCTGATGCTCGAGTGCTAGCAACGTAAATGAGGAGTTTAGGAGTTCCTCCATCTTTCTGTTGGTACCAGGCTAAGAAGTTTGGGCTGCTATAAAAACATTCTGACTGGTTCTACATGAGATGGAGACGGAGGCTCCCAGAGCAGAGTCAATGCTGCAGGCTGAGTCACTGTGACCTGTCCTCTGGACTCTGAGGATACAGAGACAAAAACAGAAAGCAGCATCAGGGTTTAGTGGGCTTCATTTCAGAGGGACGGATGTTCATAGAGGAGAGGAGTTTGATTCTCTGACTTTACCTGTGAAGCAGCAGCAGGAGGAGAGTCCAGATGAGGACGCACATCAAAGTCATGTTTTTGATGATGAGGACGAGGATTTCTGTTGTGATGAAGGACAGCTGTCAGTCATCCATGTTCAACTGTCAGGACTATAAAGTCTCCCAGAGCACTGGAGCATTGCTTGCTGATGCAAAGTGGCTCTCTATGGAAATGTTCTGACTGACTCCAACAGGGATCACTCTCATTACTCTGTTTATCAATCAATCAATTAATTATACAATTCATTAGAAAACTTTCAAAACAACTTTAATATGATTTCATGTTCATGCTTCTAGAAACATTTATCCTGATATAAATCAGGAGTTGTAATTAATAATATTCTTGAGAAAATGATTTAAAAATAATTCAAAGATTTAAATATCTCAAAGAAAGACATTCTTAATGTTATAATCTTTTAGATTCTTTTCATTTGGTCTCAGAGGTCTTGCAGGCAGAACTCATTGAGGTGTCTGTGTTTGTGTCAGAGTCAGAGACCGTGTGTCTCTACAGCGAGAGGTTTTGTACGACGAACTCCATCAGTTTGTATCACTGTGGCTCACGTTCGGTGGAGGAACCAGAACTGGTATTGAAGTAAGTCACATCTGAGCTTTTATTCAATCAGTAAGTTATTCTGTGTCTTTTGTCTTCATATTCAAGCCTGGAGGAAAATAAAATACTGACCTTTAACTTTTAAATCGTTTGTTTAGAAAGAATAAAGACAACATTTGACTTTAAAGGATTTCAGTTTAAAACAGAAACACAGACTGAATTTAAATGAAGGTAAATGTTTGAAGCCAGAGTTTTTATTTGTTGGAAATAGATGATTTTCACTCTCATGGTAAGTGACATGTGGAGTTGCTAGTTTGAGTTCAGTGTGTTAAAGTCAGAGAGCCGTGTCTCTACAGTGAGAGGTTTTTGTATGCCGCTCAATGACTTTGTACCACTGTGGTGGACTTTTGTGGAGAACCAGACTGGATGTTGGAAGTAAGTTTCTGTATGAATATTAAACCTAATGTAAAATACAGATTTTTATATTTGATCCACATAAATCACACTTTGACAACCCAAAGACAGCTGCTAAATGATTTCTATTCATGAGGTTTTTCTAACAATCGATATGGACGCCTTAATGACTGAAACAACTGAATGAAAATCATCAAATCAGCTTTCTTTACAGAAAATGTTAATGACCAGGACTTTAA